CCCCCCTTCCCCCCCCCCCCCCCCCCCCGCCCTTTTGTTGCCTCTCACTGCTCCCAAAGCTCCCCCAATACTGCTGGTGACACTCACTGCCCCATAACAGCCTACTCTTGCCCCCCCCACAGCCCCTGCCCCCCAGGCCTGCTGGAGGGGCCCCCAGCTGCCAGGGCTATGGGGCCAAGGCCCCAAGTCTGCAGCTCCCTGCCCCCAACAGCAGGCAGCTGCAGCAGAAGCAGCATGGAGCTGACTCCCCCACTGATGCTGCCCGCTCAGGCAGGGATGGGGCTGGCTCCTGGCTCCTCTCCAGCCCTGCCAGTGCCCCCCCAGCCATGGCCTGCAACCCTCCAGCCCTGCCAGAGGGGCCCCCAGCCCCCTGCAAGCCCCACTTACCACACAGTCTCCAGGAAAAGAGTGAGGCTGACTTGAACCATGGCTGACTGAGAGTCTCAGGCCCTGCCCTTCTCCTCCCCCTCCCCCTCCGGGCAGGGCTGGGGGTTTCCTGCCCTGTTTGCAAACAGCTTTTGTAGGCTGGAGCTCAACCACCCTGCAGAGCTGTTTGCAAAAGCAGGGAATCCATGGGTTTCTCTGCTAAAAGGAGAAATCCGTGTTTTCTCTGATAAAAAGGGGAAATCCATGGTTTTCTCCATTTTTGTGTGGGGAATGGAAAACCTGGATCCCTGCATCATCATTCTACCCATTCCAGAAGTTGAAACATGCTGGGTATTCACTAGTTTTGACTACTGAATTGTGAGCATATGAGCAGAGCTAGAAAAAAGCCAGGGCAGAGTGGCACCTTAGAGACCAACTAATTCAGAGAGACGTACACTTTCTTAATCAGCTGTTTAATTTATCATGTGCCCATGAATATAGTAAACCTACTGTTGCATGGGTTAAGTTTATATATGTTAGTGTCTGCTTTCAAGCAGTAGAAAAGACTCTAGCTGAACAAAGTCTAGGCCACTGGTATTTGAAAAGACTGGCTGCCTATGCATATATTAGGCAGCCTATATTCTAATTAGAACACCGCAACGTGGCCTCACCATCGTGTGTATAAGCCCCCACACATTTTAAAATGGCTGTGGGGGCACTTTATCTAAGCCTTGTCTAATGAGGTTAGATAAAGTATCCCACAGCCATTTTTAAATGTGCAGAGGCTTAATAAACATGACAGGTGTTTTAATTAGAGCAGCTCGCCAAGAACTGCTCTAATTAAAATGCACCCCCAAGCATGTGTATGGGCAGCCATTGGTTCTAAAGCTAAGCATTTTTTAAGTAAAAATAGCTCTGTACATGTGAAAATAAAGCATTTTTAAGTTTTCAAACACCAATGACAAATCTCAACTTCAAAAACATCATTCCTATCTAACTGCACAAAACTGGGGGACCTGTGTCTCCAGAGTTGAGTCAGAATGGTTTGTACTTTTTCTCAAAACAATCTCGATACTTAATGGTTCAAAGTTTGCTTTAGAGAAAGAGACAAGATTTTCAATCATCCTAAGACTCCATTTAAACCTCACTAAAAAATTTACAAAAACTTACACACCAGAATGATTTTATATTGTTCACATATGATGGAACTGTGTCTTTAAGCTATTTGGTCTCTCCATTTACACTGAGAATCTTATAACCCAACTAGATTGGCATAATATTTCATAAAAATTAAAGAACTGGATGAAACTTCAAAATGGGAACTAACTTACAGGCTATTGTAGGCTCCACCAATGTCACACTCACATGGAGAACAACCATACAAACTATTCTCAAGTCCCCAATATCCTACCTATGAAAATAAAAGAAAATACATTGATTTTTTTCATTGTAAATACTTAAAAACTTGAATTACAACTGGAAAACAATTCTACTTTGATTGGGAATATACTTTACTTAGTGAACATTTCACTGAGGCAGTTACATGTGTAAAGTTATGCATGTGTGTAAATATAGTCAGGATTCAAGACAAAAGAAAAACATATCAGTAAACTACACAATACTGTAACAAAATTGAGTGGAATATTACTAAATAATTTATCTGACATGTTTCCCTGACTGTAAAGTATCTGCATAGTGCAATATTTTGCACTTTTTCTTGTGTTATGTGAAAGCAGTACTGGAGCAAAGAAGTTTGGTGCCCACAGCAAGCCCGCAGAGGTAACCCACCCTTGCCCTGCCTACACAACTGGGGGGCACATGCCCCCCCATGCTTGCCTGGGAGTGCACACAGCAGCGGGAGCTGCCCTCCCCCTGTGCCCACAACCCCCAAATGAGCCGCTAGTGGCTCTGTCCCGTGCCCCACCCTAGCTGGGCAGCACCTGTTGGCGCCCCCTTAATTTCAGTGCCCGGGTCAGACACCCCACTCACTGCCCTCCCCCCTTGCTCTGGCACTGTTTGAAAGCATTTAAACATTTCAGAGTTATTTTAACTTTAGGATCGATAAGACTTATTGTTTATCTAACGCTTGAGATTCATTACTGTTGCTAGGTTGATTAGCTGTAACTGGTCAGAGAAGCCTCATGGTACAGTTCCTGCTCCTGCCAGGAGGGGTGTTCAAACAGTAAAGAAACAAGGGACATATCATTACTTAAACAGCCAGGTAGTGTGCAAGCACTTACAGTTTGAACTCTCCCCAGTGTAAAACTCAACATTTGATTTCCACGGATATTTGCAGATGGGATTTTGTAATTTATTTTCTTTCTCTGAGTGCTGATTTCAATCAACTGGATTGCACAAGTGTTCACAAAAAGTAAACATAAAAACTCCTAATTATACATGAAGTGAGTCATTTAGACTTCCAAGTGAAGAATCATATTCTTTGCAACAGGTATCCAATCCTAACTATTTACTATCTATGATTTCAGCAAAAACAGTACAGTAGAAATGGGCACAAGCTGCCAAGTTTTGTTATGATACTGATTATTATTTATTTGACTATTTATTAGATTATGAGTTGTTTTACAAGAAGTTAGATCCATAGTCACTCAGGAGTATTCTTGTGAGGAGATGGCAATTGTCTTCCAGTCAGGTTATCTGGGATGCTGTAAAAACTGTTGGTGTCAATAATAATAATAATCTTAAGACAGTGAAATTTTAGTGGAGTCTGCTGGGGAATGGCTTTGAGCATTTCTAATAAAGTCAACAGGGTTATAACACTTCTTGGGTTACGTCATCTCAAGACTTGATCCTGTTCTGCTGAAATCATAGAAATTAAGGGCTGGAAGGGACCATGAAAGATCATTGAGTCCAACCCCCTGCTCTGGGCAGGAATATTGCTGAGATCAACTGATTCCAGCAAGGTGTCTATCCATTCTCCTCTTGAAGACTTCCAAAAGCAAGGATATTTCACTATGGACCTCATTAAGAGAAGGAACAGGGTGTAAGACATAATTAAATCATAAAGGGCACCCGTGAAGACCAAGTTCTTCAGGCTACACTACATCAGAATTGGTGAAGAGCCTCAGCTGGTTGCTCTTATAGTAAGGACCGTTTTTACAATACATTAGATCATAGTTTCTCAACCTGTGGTATATGTATGGGGTACGTGAGACACAGGCAAGGTGTACATGGGTATACCAATACTCTCTCTCGTGCCCTCTTTTCCTCTCTAAACTATAGCAAAAAATTCGGTGCGTCGCACACTGCACAGCGCTTTAAATTCCACAGTAATAATTTGGCGCTTAGGGGATCAGGCCTCCCAGCTTTGGAAAACATCACCTCTAGCTCACATACATACTTGAGTTGTGCACCCCTGGTGTAAAAGGTGGGAACCCTATCCACACCAGATCAGACATCTGTTATATCGCAGCCTTATATATACATCCCTTCTTCCAACATATAGCACACATTAGTCTGTAAATATAAAATCCCCTGGAAAATTGAGTGTTGGGGTACTTATTAAAATTTTCAGAAGTTAAGGGGTACTTGCTACTTAAAGGGTTGAGAAACTGCATTAGATGACCTATCTGCTATTTCCACTCAGAATTGTTCTGTATTCTCTTTTAACAAGGAGAAAGGAGATAAAAGAGAGGAAAGAGCTTAGAAAGCATGTGATAGAAGGTACTGTATGAAGCAACAGTGGAAGTCTGCTGAATACATACAACGCATTCTTCACAATGTCTCCCAGTGGTGAACCGCTGGCAGAGGCACTCTCCAGTCACTGGGTCACAGATTGACAAAGACAAACTACCAAAAGGATTACAGTTGCAGGCTGTAAGGAAACAGGACCACCTCTGTTAGTGCCATTGCCAAAAAGAAATCCTACATTTACATTTGCAGTGAATTCACAAACAACCACTGCTCTCCGCTGGCTGGAGATCACACTGCAGAACAACACCTGCTGAATTCAGTTAGCCCTTAGCAGACTGGATATTCCTTAGGGATGGATAATTTTCTTCAGGTATTTTTGGTGGGAGTGATATCAGGAAGTGCTCTGCTTCAGAGCAAAGGATGACTGGCAAGTGGATCAGACCCTAGGAAGAAGTTCTGTAAGGATTTCTGCTATGGTCCTGCATTCTTTTTCAACCCACACATTATTATTTTCATTTTTGCTAAGATGATCCTTTACCTACTTAACAAATATTTACAATAAAGATAATAAGTGCAAACATGTTCACAAAAATCAGACAGTGCTTGAGGTGAAGGGCACATACTTTTCTTTAAAATTGTCAAAGAAATGACTGGCTGAAAACTCTCAAGAGTAGTGCAGACAGCAGCCTGTCCACTCTGACACCCAGTGCACCATCTCTGGAATACACTTGCTCTGTAACAACAGAAGCACCCTGAATCATTCCTCAAGGACCCTTCTCACATAGCAGGGCAGACCTTGCTTGTTTGGCATCTGCTCCAGGTTGATGTACATAGAATTTATGTTAACTGGATTTTTTTAACCCTATACCTTAAAAGTATGAACAGAATATTGCCCAATAGATTTGGGGGACATAGGCTTGCCTCCTTGGTAGATGACTTCAAAATTCTTTTGAAAAAGTAACCCAGGTCATGACTTTGCAAGAGATGATATAAGGTGCTTGTAGTGTGCATTTGTCTGCATCATTAATCATTAAAATGACAGCTAAGCATTGCAACTTTGGATAACTAAGGTGTTGCCAGTCAGGAAAGAGATACATTGCCAGAAGGGTGCTAGGCACTGCACTCATAAAACCCATCTCCTCTATGTCTGATTCTCAGTAGACTCTTTTATGATGACGAAGACATCCTTTGCCTTATTTTTTTATAAGAAACATAATTACTAATCATCTATTTAGAAGCCCTTCTACTTGAAATAAAAAATTGCACAGATTGTTTGAGGTACTCTGTTTAGTAAATCGCTAGTGTATTTCCAGTCCTGCTCCTCTTTGTTTCAGATACTGCACCAATCACATTGCCTGGAAATGAAGTTTAAAGTATGCAATATGTATGTAATTTTTAACTACCTCTCATGGTTAGAAACTAAGTTTTGAAAGAAAAAGGTGGCAGTTCACATACACTGACAGCCCAGAGGATTGCTGCTGCTCAGCCCATAGTAGTTTGGCTTGCACTTGTCACAACGGATTCCTTCAACGTTCTCCTTGCAAAGGCATCGACCAGCAAGACTTCCAAGAGTGCGGTCTGTGTGGCTTTCACACCGTCCACTGTATAATGTACCTTCTGGGTCACAGTCACAGGCTACAAACACAAACAGAAACATGAAAAGAATAACTTCAGGCATAAGAATCTATGTACACATTATATCATTGCCATTAATTAAATATTCGTATTCTGACAGTGCCTAGAAACCTTAATCAAGGCAGGATCTGCATTATGTGAAACACTGTACAAGAAAAGCCCCTAGTTAAGAATTCTGTGAAGGGCTTCCAGACAATGCACCCTGATGTGGGAGGTACTCTGGCCTTGAAGAGAGACACAGTAGGCACGTCTACACATGCATTTGCTGCAGCACCAGTTTACTCAGAAGTAAATTACTTGTGAATAAACAGTACCGGGCAGGTGTCTACATGTGTAGGGAAGCACCAATCTGGTCCCGTTTCCCAGGGCCCTGAAATAGGCCCCTGCTGCTAGCAGGGGGAACTCCAGGCCTCTGGCAGCAACGGCTAGCATCCCCTACTCCTGCTGGCCACTGCGTTGGCCCTGATGACCTACCACACTGAATGCTGCCTGGCCCACAGCAATCTCACCCCTCCAGCTCCCCCACATGCAGCACCTATCTGTATCTGTCCACCAACCATGCGCCATCCCAGGGCTGCTGCCATGCACCTGGACCCAACCTGGCTGTCTGGACCCCACCAGGGACACTGACAACAGGCTCCAGGATGCCAGCGCTGGGGCTACCCTCGCCCTTCTGGGCCTCCAGCCCCACTGCCTCTGGGCCTGCCAGGCCACCCAGGACTGGTGGCGGCACATTGTCCAGCACACCTGGGACAACAGGCAGCAGCTGGAGGCTGTCAGGATGGCTTGGGCCACCTTCAGGGATTTCCTAAAGCAGCTCCAGCCACATCTGGAGTGGCAGGATACAGCCTTGCAATCGCCTCTCCCTGCAGACACCTGGCTGGCCCTAGCCCTGCTCAAGCTGGCCATGCCCATTGGCTTGCAGTATGTTGGCCACCTGTTTGGCATGGGCTAGGCCACTGCTGGGGAGGCCATCCTGGAGGCGTGCAGCACGCTCCAGGACGTGCTGGGGGACACCGTGCTCCATGTACATGACACCCTGGTGGTGGTAGCAGGGTTCCATGCCCTGGGATTCTCCACTTCATCGAGACCCTGGACAGGACCCATATCTGTCACTGCCCGCCCCATGGAGACCACCCCTATTACAGCCAGTGGGCTTTCACTCTGTGGTGGTCCAGGCCATCGTGGACCAAAGTGCCTTCATTCACGTGAGTGCTTGCTGGCAGGCAGCACCCATGATGTCCATGTGTTCTGAAACTCTAGCTTGCTGGGCCTGGTGAAGAGTGGGTACTTTGCTTTGTACTGGGGGTACTAGACCTGCAGCTCGGCGCTATGGTGGTCCCACCCCTCCTCACCAGGGGCCCCACCTACCTGCTCCTCCCCTGGCTCATGAAGGCCTACACTGGCCACCTGGACCCCCACCAGGCCCACCTTAACAGCTGCCTGGGCCAGACCCATGCCCTGATGGAGTGTGCATTCGGGTGCCACAAAGGCCACTGATGCACCCTCACTGCCCATGTCAAGTTTGCTGAGGACAACCTCCCCTGGGTCACTGTCACAGCCTGCATGCTGCATAACATCTGTGAGTCCCAGGGAGAGCTCTTCCATGAGGCCTGGGAGGAGGAGCAATGGCAAGCAGAGGATGCCTGGCAGCAGGAGTGCCTCCTGCGGTGGCAGTGGTAGGCACCCCTCCCCCCCCCTTCCCACAAAGGTCCCAGCACAGCCACACACTCACCGGGGGGGCCAGGGCACTAGAATTGGGAGGCACTGGCTGACCACCTCCTCCAGCACTCTGTGCTCTAGGCTACTTGCACTGCCACCCATGGACCCCCCACCACCTCAGCCCACCCCCAGCACCACACTCACTACAGACACATCTCAGAAGAACAAGTTTTTATTTCCCTCACATCAACCACAGCCCCCCCCATCTCTCCCCAACAGAGTCCCACTCCCTGCTCAACAAACAGAGCCCCTCCATAACATACCCTACCTACCAACAATAAAAAACCTTCCTCCCCTGAAAACTATGTACAATGTTATTTGTGTGCCATCCTGGCCTGCCTTCCCAACCCCGTTCCCAGAGCAGGACAGGCCAGGCTCCTGGCAGCACCCGCTGCCACAGCTCTAAGTCCCATTTCCCTCCCTGCCTCTCACAGGCCAACTGCTCTGCTGTGCTGCCACCCAGCCCACGGTGCCCAGGCTCGGGGTGGTGCAGGGCTCCCAGAGAAGTAGGACAAGGAGCCACCTGTGCCTTTGCCCTCCCTGCAGAAGTATTCTCTAGGGAGGTGCCAGCCACTCCTCATGGCGCTTCTGTGCCCTGAGTGTGCGTCCCGGGCAGTGTGCAAGGAGCTGTTCATGCAGACCAAGGGGTGCCCAACCCACTATGCCCTGCTGCCGCTGATGGCCACGGTGCCCCAGGTACATTTGTGCACCTGGCATGGAACCCTGAGATACGATGGCGTGGGGGGCAAGCCTGGGCTGCCCCACAACTTACACTGCCATCTGGAGGGCTACCTGTGGCTGGGCTACAAGTCCCTACTGCTGAAGAAGACATCACTACCAGCATTGATGCACTCCTTGGCATGTGAGAGCCTCATGCCTGCTTAGCTGTGGGGACATGGGCTGCTTAATAAGGGCTGCACCGTCTCCTGCCTCCCTCATGCTGGGAAAGGGTGGGGGGAGCCCAAGGCCAGAAGAGTGTGGGTGGGCCAGGTAGGGAGGGGGGGCAGGGCCAGGGGCAGGAACAGGGGCAGAGGCAGGGCCTGGG